CATCTCTCTGTGTAGGAGAAGGGTCCTGTCTCATTCTACCTTCAGTAGAAAGAGATTTTCATTTAAAAAAAATCTAAAATACACATTTATTTCAAGACCTGTCATGTAAGTCAGGAGAGTTTTCAAAAAGTTTCCCCCCTATTCTTTAAATCAGGGGTGTCAAACTGCCGGCCCGCGGGCCAGACACGTCATCCAGAAGCCACGCCCACCCCATTGCCAGCAATGGCAAAACTGTCTCGATATGTTGCGTGACGTCACGTAACGTCGCAGGTTTGACATGTCTGCTTTAAATGATCTTTTAGATGTTTTCAGAGATCAGAATGCTAAAGTTTATTTTGTAACAATATGTTATTTTTAAAAATTCTATTTTACCCTCCTAATGCTTTTTTTTCAAAATAGAAAAAGAAAGAAACAAGAAAAGAAAAATTCCATGAACAAAGGAAGAGAGGAACCAGGGCTTTCTGAAAACTGCTCTTTCATTGAGAAGGAACACTCCACCCCTGACTCCTGGAGATTATTATGGAAATATTATAGAGTCAAACCCTTTCAATTATACTGTTGGTTGCATACCTTAAGAAGGGGATAAGATAGTCAGTTTCATGTCATCAGAAAGTACTTTTCTAGATCAGCTGTCCAACATGTACAGCAGTGCAGTGTACGTGATGCTTTTTGTTCCCTAAGAACTCAAGCTCAGAAATAGTTGGAAGGGAGCTACCCCAAAGCAGACTTACAGGAGCAATAACAGAGAGTCCTCATTTAGTGACTACCTTGTACAGCAACAGTTCACAGTTACATGGTGATGAAAAATGAACTTTGTAACCAATCCTCACGTGGATGTAGGATTGCATCCATGTAGATGCAATCCTAACCTTCACAGGTCTCTAAAGCAAAGGAAAATTGGAGAACATAATAAACATAGTCAAAGTTTCAATTAGAGACTGCTTTGCTTAACAACCAGTGGCAGTCGCAATGATGATGGCTAAATGAAGACTATCTGTATAGCTAAGCAGATTACTATCCCAGGCCACATCATCTTTTTTTCCATAATTTATTTTTGTTTATTCAAAGAAGATTAAAATACAAAGCACCAAAATATTTTAAAAGGCCAAAAGAATAAAAAAAAACCAACCCAAAAATAAATAAAAAGTGTCTTACTAACACATATACATATACCATCCTCCCTAGTTGAACATTGATTAATATAGCAATGTTGGTTTGCTACCCTTTGCGAAACAGGCCAAAAGAATTTTAAACTGTGAAACTACTAAATCTACTTATCAATTGTTAGCATGTCATATATAAGCTATATAATAACAAAATAGTTAACAGAAGAAGCAATAATATATGAAATATATATTAATATATAAAAATAAAAGTATAAAAGTAATAAAATTGTGAATCTGAAAAAAACAAGACTGAAATTCAAAAAAATCTCTGTTAACTTATTGTAATCAACTCATAGAAAATTTACCACCACTTCCATCCCAAATCATCGGAAATATTAACCCTAATTGGTCCTGGATCAAATATCCATGCTTGTTTCTTTATATCATCTCTGGTCAGATATCACTTTTTTCGGCACTATTGAACAATTGCTAAATTGTTAGTCGAGGACTAATCTGGATGCAGCACAAGGTTGCTCATGTAATCTAAGACATACAGAGGAAGAGACTTACAACTTTTAGCAATTGTTCAATAGTGCTAAAAAAAGTGATATATGACCACTCTTGACGTTATCACCATTGCAGTGTCCCTGTGTTCACACAATCAAAATTCAGGTCCAGTGGTTGCAGCATCTTGGGGATCACATGATCGCCACTTGCAACATTCCCAAATGGCTTCCAACAAGCCAACTTAATGGGGAAGCCAGATTTACTTAACAACCATGCGCTTCACTTAACGATTGCAGTGATTTGCTTAATGACTATGGCCAAAAGTTGCAAAATCTGGAATGGAAGTTTGGTCACAATTGTGGTTGTAAGAAAGGACCAACTGTAAGATGAAAATCTCTTTTTATGCTATAAAGTCTGAAAACAGGCTTGGGCTGCTTCAGCAGTACGCTGTTGATGAGATGGAGATTGCAGTATTAGACTGCTGACTGAGCCCCGGGTCAAAGAGATGTAATCTTTGCTGTTGTTTTTACTTAATGCATTTATTGATATAGGTGACAGGAATGCTTGAAATTAGTTGATTGGGGATATGAATATTTGGGTACTTTTGTATCTAGATAATGCTATGTTGTTGCCTAAGAATTCTAGTGATTTACAGCAAAGATTAGATTTTGTGATGCAATGAAGTGAATGGATCTGAAAATTAATATATTGCAAGCAATTGAATTTGACAGAGAAAATAAAATAAGTTATTGCAAATAAAATATACGCGGCAGAAAATTATAGTAAGTAGATGATTTATTTATAGTGAAATCTTGATTTTACTTAGCCATTTTAATAGACTTTGAATCAGCAACCACTTTTCCATTAGGATATCCCTCTCAGAGTTGATGTCAAAAGTAATCTGGACAAGGCAGTTTTATTTATTCAAACTTATCTTAATTATACAACATCCATTGTGATTTATGTAATTTGTGTAGCGGTGAAAAATAGTGCAATTGCACATTTTGCATATATTAACACTAGATTGTACTTCCATATTTAATATATAATAAATACCTTCTCCCCATAAATGTTTTTTTAAACTAAAATGACTGTATCTTGGAAGTATAGTTATAAATTATGGGGAAATGAATGGAGAAATCTTAAGATATAGTGGGTGGAACTCTGTTGCATCAAATTAACGCTTGTAAAAGAAAAAAAATGGCTGTGTATAAGAATGTTTTTGTTATATGGAAATGAGTGTTAGATATTATCAAGAGAAATAAAATAACTTGAAACTGGGAATGAGTTACTTAAGAAATGTGGGAGGTAGAACAAGAAAAGATGGGGTCAAGAAGGAATGGGTGCTTAATACAAAAATTAGTGATCAGTCTGAAGGAAACAAATTGAAGTAGCTTGTCAGGCTTCCCAGCATACTGTTTCTGATAAAACAAGATTTGGAATCAAATCAATCCATTCCAGATAGAAAATCACAGCAAAGTATATTTTGGAATAAGCAGATCTTTTAAAAAAACAGACAATGCCTTTTAAAATTCAGTCCTTCAAAATCAATATATTTCAAATACCCTGCTGAGAAATGAGGATGTGTGTCTCAGACAGAGCAGCTGGGAGGAATTATTACAGGAAATCAATAGGAAGTTATTGAAATGAACCATCAAGTTAAATTGAGTTCATTATATTTCCTAAAGAAACAGTTACTGTACAACTGTTTTATTGCATGTCATGAATCTGGGGGAGGATTATATTGAGGCATTGAATTATACTTGGGAACATGTATGTTGATTTTGGTTATGTTTTCAATAATTGGATAGTGACACAGGAAGTGTTGGTTTTTTTTTTAAAGGATCTGAGAAGTTCCTGCTTGGCTTGGAAAGGCTTGGATGGATACCAGAGTTCCACGATTGAATTGCACATTGAATTCCAGAAACCAAAACCCCCCCTTCCACCCACATTTATTTCAAAGCAGTTTATTATATTGCCATCCTGCTCTGCATTTTTTAATCATTTCAGAATGGCATGCAATGAAAGAGGGTAATGACCTCTTGGATTTCTGAGTCTCAACTGCTAAAAGCCACATTCCATTTTTCCAGGAAAAATACATTTTAATTATATATAGTAGGAAAAGCTGCATGCTATAAGGAATAGCAAAAGTTAGTTTCCTAACCCAGACAAGCCGTTTCCATGCATGTAAGTTCTCATATTTTCCTTATTTTGAAAAACAGGTATTTTAGCAGTTGGCAGCATATAAAGTTAATATTTTCATATTCGCTCATTATAACAAATGAGTAACCTAAATATGGGGTGGAAACCCAGCTATTATAATTTGGTATTGCGTAAAGTAATACAGTAGCCTTACTGTAGGTTGTTCAGCAAATTAGAGTTAAAATCTTTGCTTGCACAATATGTGACTTGAGTCAATATCGATGTTACTTCTGCTAAAAAACTTGTAGGGTTGTTTATGTTCGTTTTAATATGCTTTAGGCCCTCACAATGGAACTTAGCAGCCTGTACACACTAGACAATTTTTTTCTTGAACCTCAGAGAGTTTGAGAATTACCCCATTTTCTTTAGGCTCATCGTGGCCGTCCTAGGAGTTAGGAATTTACTTAAAAAAAGAAAAATAGCTAAGATTCTCAAGATATTCTTTGCTCAGTGATTGTTTAGTAATAATAATATATATGGAGTACTTGGCTTGTCTGCATTTTAAACTTTTTATTTTACAGTTTGAAATTAAAATTTTAAACCCCGTCAACTTAATTCAGATTTCCCAAAATGAACTGATATATCTTGCGAAGGTTTAGTCCTAAGAAAGCATAATCCACATCCATATGGTGTATTGGCATCACTCTCATTTATAATCTTACTAATGTTGTCTTGGACAACTGAACTGATTTTCTTCTAGTTTTGTCACCCCAAACCTCCAATTGAAAAAAATCTCTGTTTTGTGATTTGGAATGACAAAGCTGGATCTGTGGGGCTTGGAGTCTGCAACTTTCCTGTTGGCAGGAAAGCACACCAATTCCTACCTTCTGCAGTTCTGGTGACTTTGGAGTTCCATAGTTCCTTTGCGTTGGATTTCAGAGCTAAATAGTTTATTTTCTCTTCTTTTCTTACGAAACTAATGCCAAAGACATTGCAATGGGAGAGAGCAGGGATTACAGGCCAGTTTCTGTGTTTACTTACTAGTTGGCTGGTGGGAGCTGGGGCTGGTCAGGGTTACGTCCACAATAGTTGTGTTGAATAATTGATCATTATGAGGAATTTGAGAATCTTTAGAAATTGCAGCTATGATCAAAGCAACCAGGTATATTTCACTTGCCAATTAGAGGAAAATCCTATTGAGAGGAGCTTCATGATAATGTCTCCTTTCTTCCTCTTCTCAGTATGCACAGGGACAGATATGAAACTGCAGCAGTCCTCCAGTCCAGAAAACCATCCAGACACCCTCCGTAGGCTCTATGAACACTGTCAAGTTGTGCAGGGCAATCTGGAGATCACATACCTACCAGCAGATGTGGATACGTCCTTTCTCAAAGTAGGTATAGTATAGTGCCGTGGTGGCGAACCTATGGCACGCGTGCCACAGGTGGCACGCAGAGCCCTCTTTGTGGGCACGCGCGCCATCACCCCAGTCCTAGGCCTTCAGCTGGGTTTTATAAAACCTTTTCGCTTTAGGCCTCCGCCGCGGTGTGCAAAAAAAAAAGATTCAATCAATCAATCAATTTCAAGATCTCACAAAGTTGTAATTGATTGATTAAACTTTTTAGTCACACCCAGTCTGCCGTTGCCACCGCAGCCACGCCCACCCAATGGGCCATGCCCACCCAATGGGCCACGTCCACCCAATGGGCCACGCCCATCCGGCACCCGACAATACATAAGTGAGTTTTGGGTTGCAGTTTGGGCACTCGGTCTCTAAAAGGTTCGTCATCACTGGTATAGTGTGAAAAATGATAGTGCTTCCAAACTTCTTTGTTTTATTGGCTTGGGAATGGAAAGGAAAAATGCTACATGCTTCCACTTGGCTGCCCCTTAGAATTTAAAAAGGTGACATTCATGACTGGAAGTTACAAAACATTGTCTACTAGTATTGCTCCAAATTTTCACAACATTTAGTAAAGTATTGTTAAAATTAATTTAGTTGTGCATATTTTTATTTCTCCCTAAAGGAGCCTTAGTAGTTTTGAGTTTCATGAGCAGATAATCAAGATAGTAAGATATTATTTTGGATCCTGAGAATTTGAATTTGATTGCTTATGCTGGGTTCAGACTTCATATTAAAGTAGTCCATAAGCTAGTTTAGTCTCTGTGATATGCTAAGCTATAATGAAATTTGTTATTCAATATTAGTTAGAAATTAAATTAGGCAAATCATTGTTAAACAAAACATGCCGAAGCATAATATGTGAACCTAGTCTTTGTGTCAAACTCTAAATCACAGTTTACAAACCAGAAAAGATGGCTTTAAGTAACACCTACAAGCTTAGAATAAAAAGAGTATCTGGAAACAAAGATATAGGTAAAAGGTGAATGAAACATGTAAATATGAATCATCTACCACTTTCTCACTATATGCATTAATGCTGAATGCACATATTAAACTCATTATTTACATTAACCATGGTTTTATCAATAAGCCACAGTTTTAGCAATATGTCTGATTGCTTCATAACCCACAATCTTAATGATTAGGGTTTGGTAACACGTCGAGCCTTACTCAGAATATATATTAGGGCTTACTGCACTAAGCCCAAATACAGTGCTGTAAGCCCAAATATGTATTTGGGTAAGGCCCGACATGTTCCCCAAACCTAGCTATTGCAATTTACAAATTGTGAGTTATGAAGAAATAACTGTATGTTGTACACATAGGACAGTGTAACTGCAAGCTTTCTGTTCTCTGTGTGCAATATACTGTGGTTTGGCTCAGGGAAGATTTGGATCTGTTGGGTCAGGGAATCTGGTCTTCCAGCTATTGCAGTTAGGTTTTCATCTGACCGTGTCAATATAGTAGAGTTCAAGGAGGGTATTATAGCCCTTCAGCTCTGGAGGACCATATTTCCATCATGTTCTTATCTGGGTGATATTTTGCAAATCCAAGAGTCATGAAACTTTTCTTATTTCATTTGTTTCTCTCTGCTTCTCAGGACATCAGAGAAGTCCAGGGCTATGTGTTAATAGCCAAGAATCACATGCACCATTTGCACCTGAACAGCCTCTTGATCATTCGTGGGACCCAGCTCTATGAGGAGAAGTATGCACTGGCTGTCCTAGACAATGCTGATTCCAGTGGAGATGTGGGGCTGCAGGAACTGGGCATGTTGAAACTAACAGGTGTGTTGAAATGGGCTGGATAATTTCTCAGAAAGACGACAACAGATATGCAGGAGACAGTGTTGGAAGCTATGCACTCTGGGTTGGATCCAGACAAAATTATCTGCATTTAAAACATAAAGGCAGGAAGCACTGTTGGTGGATTGCTTAGTAGGATGTGTGAACTGGAATCTTTGGTGGACTCTAACAAATCAAAGATTCCAGTTCACCTATGCTTAATAAGCCTCAACTGGTGTAAATATTCCAATTGTTAGGAGAAGCCAAAAGTCATTACTATTGATGTGCTAATCAGCCCTAAGGTATACTGCAATGTTTATTTATTAATATTTTATGAAGCTGCCACTATTAAAAAAAATAGCTTTAGGAGTAACTACATTATTTCTGCTCGGCAGCTGAAACCATTTATATTTGACTCAGGTCTAAAAAAAAATCACACTAAAGTTATTATTTCCATTTAAAACCCTGAAGTTCTGTGGGAAAGTTGTATTCCTATTTGTAGAAATAGGAGGTGTGCAAATCTTCTCAAATCTGTAAAGTTAACCCAGATCATAATGCCCAGACTGATATCAGAATGATTGTTCTGACTTGCAGGGACTGCCCTGAATTCAGAATGCTTCTAGACTTGCTGGAACTCTTCTCTATTTGAGCTCCAAATGATTTGTTTAGAATGTGAAATAATGTGAATTTGCTCACCACTAGAAGACTTGGCGAACGTATTTCTTAGTGTCCAAACTCGTACCAACAAGTTTTAGCAGCTCCATCACTCTAAACTGTTCCATGGTTCTATTTACAATGAATTCATTGCACAAAATATGAACAAATTTTTTGTTGCTGGTGTACTGATTGATTGATGGTTTGATCCTATATCCCCACACAAACATAGCGCCCTTGAAGAGTTAGAAGATTTAGCATCCTATTTCAACCTGAACTATAAGGTATGATGTTTGTTGCTTGAATCTTGCTTGTGCCATGAACTTGACATTGCTTGTGCCATGAAATTACAAGTATGCCTTAGGCATACTTTCCTCAGCATAGATATTTTGCAATCATAATGTGCCAAACTCTCAGCTGGTAGCAACCTCTACCTCGAACTAATTTTAGGAAGTGTAACACAGTTTTATCCACAGTTTATAATACAGATCCAGCTCAGTTGTGACAACAGATTGAACTTTCTAGTAGACTGAATATGTGGTTTTAAAATAATGAACAAAAACAGACTGTTAATGCATTTCCCTTTGCTATCCCTTCCGAAAATTTCCTCCTGTTTGCTTTCAGAGATCTTAAAAGGTAGTGTGATTATAGAGAGGAACCCCCAGCTGTGCTTCCAGGAGACCATACATTGGGAAGCTATCTTCCATAAATATAACTGGCAAAAATATACTGAGATCAGCAGCCATCGCCGTAGGAACTGTAAGCATAATTGGTTAAGCTCTGGGCTTCAGGGAAATTATGTGCAGAAGTAAATCCTTGTTTTTAATGATGCTAGGGAATTATTTCTTATCTATTTGTTTCTTCTGAGTAAAGTTCAAAATTTTGGTTTTTCATTGGTGCCGTTTTATTCTCTGGTAAAAATAATAAGATTAAATGAATTTCATAGCTTCCATTAGTAATACAAGTCGGCTTATGTTTCCTCTTATGTGAGGCTAATTCTGAAGTTCCTGAATATCATATCTCTGCTTGTAGTTTTTGTCATTTGTACATGCAGCATGCCCATAATAACTGGAATAACAAATAGAACAAAGATTTATAAATCCTGCACTTTATCCCTGCACTTGATTACTCTTTCCTCATTTTATGCTTCTCTATAAGCCTTTCTGCTATCTGTGGAGGTTGGATGAATGAACCATATTCTTTTATTACCAGCTTCCAGGTAGTGCTTGGCTTGCAACCAGGGCTTTTTTTCTCGGAGAAAAGGTGGCGGAACTCAACAGGAATGCAAGTAAAATTTGGGAGGGGCTATTTCCGGTGTGGGAGGGGCTATTTCCGGTGCGGCCGGCCCGGAAAAAGGTGCCGGAACGCGGTTCCGCTGCGTTCCGGCTGAAAAAAAGCCCTGCTTGCAACAGCAATTACGACTGGAATTGCTGTCTGTAAGTGATGCAGTCATAAAGCATGACATCACATGACCATGTCATTTAGCAATGGCAATTCCAGTAATCCCGGTTGCCCTATTAAGTGAGGACTGCTTGGGTCAGTAAGAGAGAATCTCATGTGACTGCGATTTTCTGCCGGTTTCCCCATTGTCTTTGCTTGTGGGAAGCTAGCAGAGAATGTCATGACCATGTGACTGTGGGGACACTGTGACACCAGAACTGTGAGGAACCATTATAAGCATCATTTGTTAAGTGCTGTTGTAACTTTGAATGGTTGCCAAACAAATGATTGTTAACCCAAGGACTACCTCTATTTCCCTTTCTATTTCTCTACAGTATGTCCACAGTTCATCTATTCAAAATGTTAGAATGAAAACCAACTCCACCATCAGCATTCTAGGAATTCCCCACTTCTGTCCTGGCTGATGTCATTTTGTTGTCCTAATAAACCAGTGTGCAGTATCTAAGTTTTTAGATATTAGAGAGCTGTCTGGATTCTATGCCCAAATTGTTGAAGTTCACATGATGAAAAGCCAAATTCTGCATTCACTGTTATATAAGCAAATTTAAATAGTTTTGTATAATGCCTTCTGCAGTATTTTCTTCTTTGTGTGATACTTTTTGGTTTATTCACAAGGAACAGTGGAGCTCTGCTCTTCTCCATCAACAATCATATTCAGCTGTCTCTGTCATTCGAGACTTCAGTAAATGTGTCTTACACACACCCTGCTTGCTATTACAAACATAAGGGCTAGAAACTTAGTTTAAAAAATGAAGGCAGATATTCTTAGGAAGTTGAATCCAGTACAACTGCATTCTGTGTCCTGGCAAAATTACAACATACACAACTCTTTGCCAAGTTCATTTTTGCTGTCCTCCCAGCTGAGCACATCTGGTATCTCACAATTGTTACCGCTCCAATTTTGCATGTTTCTTCCTCTTAGATGTAAGATTTTTAAAAAATCTGTTTTCTTTCCCACTAGGCCCTGACTGCAGCCAAATCTGCCCACATAATAACCACTGCTGGGGAGAAGCCAAAGGGAGCTGTCAAATATGTAAGAAGGAATATCACTGCTTGGGATCTGAGGGGAAAAATGCAAACTCTCTAATGCATGCAAGGAAATGGCTGGACAAAGTCTATTTTAAAAATCCAGGATCCTAGGGCTAAAAAAATACAGAACTTGAAATATGTTACTGAATGGATCTTAAAAGTGTTAAGGGGCTGTATAGTGCTTGAGTCTAAACCAAAGATTCAATCCAGCGCAGGAAGACTACTGTCCCTCTGGATAATTGGCTCCACTGTCAAGTTACTATTAAGAAGGTTTTTCTAAGATTTAAATCATCTTGTAATATATTAGTGTTCTGTTCTCTGGAATGATAGAGAACAAATCTTGAACAATTTCTGTATGATACCTCTTCAGATAACTAAAGTATGTTATTATATTCTCCTCTTCCCCACCATCCTTTATTTTCAAGTTGAAACATCCTTGTTGTGCTTCTTAGAATCTGTTTCCCAGTCAGCATGTGAATTTGGTAGTCATAACCCCAAGACAGTGGGAGAAAGTTGCTTTAGAGGGTGAAAGGGTTCCATTATTTTGGAGGGAGCTGTGCTTCTACCTAATGCTGTCCTGGCTGCCTTGGAGTTCAGCTTTTTCTATTCTCTCAATTATTTTCCCTCTGGTCAAAGCTTTCTGATCTGTTCTATCTGTTCCTGATTGTCCCTAATAACCTGAGGGCCAGTCCTGCTCAGCCTGTGGTTTCCACAGTGGGTATCAGCAACAGGTCTCTCTAGCCTCTTTCATCCTCCAGTTGCTTCTGGCTCAAGATAATACTGGACTGAAGTCCTTTCTTCCTGCAAGGTATCCGAGAGCAGGGATCTCTGCTTGTGTGGGAGACAAGTAGAATGACTGGTTTCTTCATTTTTGGCTCTCCGACAGTGACAAGTACAATCTGTGCCAGCAGCTGCCCGAGGTGCAAAGGAGGACACCCAACAGATTGTTGCCATGAGCAGTGTGCAGCAGGCTGCACAGGACCCAAACATTCAGATTGCCTGGTGAGTGGAGAATCTTTTTGGAGGCTTTTCCCCCAGCCTTGAGATGTCTACTTCATTGAACAGATTGCCACTTTCTGATTGCAGCAAAATTGACTTTTGTTAATTTATACCCACCAGTATTCCTGCAAGGAGCTAAACTTAACCTCCCCTAGCATATGGCTAAACACATCTGGAAAACTGTCGGTTAGATTGGCTTTGGCCAAAAGAGTATGAATCCAATAGTGGAGGTTCTAGCCAGAAAACATTGGAGTTACGTTCACTGACTTTTAAAAGCCCATACTGTGAGAAAATCTGTTGAGTTCTTCCTTTGTTCTTCACTTTAGTGGCTGGATTCCTACATTATACTAAGTCAAGGCTTGTTGAACCTAATGGTATTAGGATTGGTGAAGCTTAAGTTGAAGCCTCCTCAATCAATGGGGAGACTGACTATGGACCAGTCCCTTTTAGTCCATCCTCATAGAGTGCAGTGTGCTGTGTTTGCATATTGTCAATAAAGCAGCTGTTACAAAGATACAATAATATTTGGATGCTTCCTTTGGCAAGCAAGGTTTAGAGTATTTCTGCTAACTAGATCAATGTTAAAACAATATTTATATTAATGTGCTATTAAAATGGGTCTTGCTGTCTTTACCTGATGCAAATAAATGAATAGGGCAGGACATCTCCTGTACTGTTCCTTGAATTTTGCCTGCTGTCCTTTTGTTTTTTTAAATGCTTCTTCTTTCTGTTTTTCCAGGCCTGCCTACACTTCAACCACAGTGGCATATGTGAACTGCACTGTCCACCTTTAATGAATTACAATCCAGATACTTTTGAAATTATGCACAACCCAAATGGACGCTACACTTTTGGAGCAACTTGTGTCCCTCATTGTCCTTGTAAGCCTCTATTTATGGAAGGGTCTGCTTGGAGAGAGGGGCAGATAGTTGGGCTGTAGATACTTCCAGTCACTTCCAACCATTTGATATACCAGTATGTGGGATTCCTCACTTCTTTTGGAGCATTCAGACTCTCACACAGTTATCAAGATGAATTATATAGCCTTACTTTTTTCTTCACCCGCTAAATTTCTGCGCACTGAGTTTTTAAAAATGGTTTTCTCATATCTCATGACAGATAATTACTTGGCAGCAGAGGTAGGCTCTTGCACTCTGGTGTGTCCCCAGAATAGTCAAGAAGTGAGCATGGGTGCCATGCAGAAATGTGAGAAATGTGACAGTTCCTGCCCAGAAGGTAAGAAGCGTAAAAGGATTCTCCATTTTTCTGGACGCAGCAAAATGTTATCTATCTGGATTCTCCTCGACTTTCTATCTCTATCTTGACAGAGCCATGGAAATAATGTATGGGTTTTGGCTTTATGCTTGTCCAATTCCAGGCACCTTGGCTTGGTTGTAAATTTCTTAGTCTCCATGTGTGGCATTTACTCTTATTGTACTGGAGTTCGGTCATCTCAGTCATTTGCTACTGTCTGTGGAATGCAGAGGATTCACTTCCATATTGTTATGCCTCCCCAAAAGGCCAATCTACCTGTTCTTCACTGGCGGTAAAATTCAGAAGTTCACAGCTTAAATTGTGCCCTAGACTGTTGGTTTAATATGATGTGTAGCTAAATATATGCAGCCTTTTTATGCTTTAGTTAATTCTACACCACCTTCTCTCTATTTTAGTCTGCTATGGTTTAGGAATGGATTTCCTGAAAGGCGTTCGTGCTGTCAATGCCTCTAACATCCACCACTTTACTGGCTGTACCAAGATCTTTGGCAGTTTAGCCTTTCTGAAAGAGACCTTTGCAGGGTAGGTAACCAAGTCTTAGAGTCAGAAAGCTATATCAGTTTTTGGGATGCATTTGTGTAGCTCTTCTGGGTAATACATCCCAGCTTATACATTTGGAAGCTTCTGAGCAAGTAAATTATTGCACAAAAGCTGCAATTAAGCTTTGTTACTTTTAAAAGACAGGACCTATTGTTTCTAGGTGAGCTTTTCAAACTATAAATAACCAGAAAGAGTTTAAATTAGAAGCTTATTTCACAATTCAGCATCTTTAGAAAGCTTTTATTTTTTAATGATATTAACTTGTAGGACTAGAGAAATAAGGATCGCACTATTGCAATCACTGAGCAATTTTGTTTTGAAGGCCTAAAAGTTTAAGCTGTCTCTACTTCTCCAAAAATGAAGTCTGTAAGAAAAAGGAAATGGGGCATGGTGCTGAGGAGAGAAAGAACTACATTAATACTCTGTTCTGAAACAGAACTCCTAATCGCTATTGTGAGGCTACTATGGGACAGGAGAATAATGCTGCCAGTGAAATTTGTGGTGTGAAGAGGGAAAATAATTTGTTGGCCTAAGATAGAAGCTTTTATGCATGTTAACAATTTTGATGGGGGAAGCTTCTAAACCACAGGTGTCAAACTCGCGACGTCACGTGACGTGTCGCGACGTATTGTGACTTTTTTTCCATTGCCAGCAATGGGGTGGGCACGGTTTTGGCATGACACATCCAGCCCACAGGCCGGCAGTTTTACACCCCTGTTCTAAACTGAGAAACCTTCATATTTCTTAAAATAAACATTTTTAAAAAATACTAAGGTGTTTGAGGTTTGAGGCTGGGTAATCTGAATACATTCCAGTTCCCATTTGCCAGTTCAAAGGTGAGAAGGCTTAAGGGACTAGTGTCTATAGCCTAAGAAATGGTGGATGGGATTTGGATCCAAGCTTGGATAAATCTGCTATATTTCTCATTATTGTTGAATTGAAAGGGTCACAATTTAATAAGGAAATCAGAGCATGAACTATGAAAGCCTTGTAATATGATTTGTCCTTAGAAACATATTTCATGATGGCATGATATATTGTTACTTTTGAATGGACAGGTAGAATCACCTGTAACAACAGAAAAATTAAGTCATCTGGGAAGTACTATAGCAGGTATAGGTGACTTCTAGGATTCATATTCAAGCCCTTTCTTGCAGTAGTTGCAATTTAGGAAAGCTGCTATTTGGCAGCATAGCTTTCTTACAGTCTTCTAAAAAAGTGTGGTACTCAACCTCAAACAGGCTTACCACAATAAAACAACAGCCTCAACTCCCAATACGAGGAGACAAAAATTATAGTCCTACTTTCTAAAGTGACAGCATTGTGCCATTCTTTCGTTCACTCATTTAACTTGTATAATTACCCAACTCATACTCTAGGACAGGGGTAGGCAACCTCGGCTCTTTTATGACTCATGGACTTCAACTCCCAGAATTCCTGAGTCAGCTATGCTGACTCAGGAATTCTGGGAGTTGAAGTCCATGAGTCATAAAAGAGCCGAGGTTGCCTACCCCTGCTCTAGGAGGTATATAAACACATTTAAACCAGTTACGGACCAATCACAAAATATTATCAAAATAACAGAAGAAATTGGCAACCAAATACACTAACCAACATATATCTGTGCTTTCTAGAAAGGGGATATCTCATTACTCTCACCCAAAGAAATAACCAGATTTTAAGAGCCTTACAGAACATTGTAGGCTTGGAGTCATCTGGATCTTAAGCGGAAACTGTTAGGCAGGACAGAATACAATTCTCATTCATGACACTCACCGTGGCCTGTAGCCCACCAAAATATTCTTTTGAAAATAAGAACTTTGGGAGCAAAAAGTTGGACATGTGTTTTTATATTTCCTTGTTTCTATACCCTTGTGTGAAATTTGTCTGGATAAGACGGTCTTGTAATGCTCCTAAAAGTGACATGTGAAAGTGTGTGATATTTTGACATCATTTCAACCAATTCAAGCAAAGACAGTGTTGACCATTGGAATAACCATGAGGGAGGGGACATTTTAGATGTGTGCATATGAGTGCTTAAGTTTCACTCCAAGTTGTTCCTTCCTTTTCTGTTTAGAGATCCTGCCACCAATACCCCACCCCTACAACCTGAACAGCTTGAAGTCTTTGTGCACTTGAAAGATTTAACAGGTATGTACAAGAAGATTTCATGATAGTTTGAGGCCTTGTGATAAAGAGCAGTGTACCAGTCCTTGTCATAAATAGCAGCATATCCACTTGGTCCCTGCCTCTCTGATCAAAGTATCGCTCCTCTGTAATGAGGCCAACATCAATCCTTTTTTTTAAAAAAAAGTAGCAATCCCAGTTCTCCATTGAATGGACCTCCATTGTTGTTTTCTCAGGCTTTCTATACATTGAATCCTGGCCAGAAACTCTCTTGGACCTGAGCCCTTTCCAGAACCTTCAGGTGATCCGAGGGCGGGCACTTTACAAGTAAGTGTTTTAATGAGAGTGAGATCTATGTTGCCAATGGAAAAGTCCATATCTGAGCAATTGTCATGGGTTCTTTTTTTTTTTTTATCAATTATCCAGATTTATTTGACCAAAGTACTGGAAATTTGACCAAAGTACTGCACAATTGATTAGGTTTTGTATCTTCGCTTAATGTCTGGGGGAAGAGGGAAACTTCTATTATAACAAACAAAGCTTACAAATAAAAGAAAAAGACATTTAAATTATAAATGCCCACGACTATTACAGAATAATAAAACTATTTTCTATTTTAACTATTTTCTCTAAGCTTTTTGTAGGTAGTCCTAAACCTACAACCACAATTGAGCCCAAAATTTATGTTGTTAAATGAGAAATTAGTTAAGTGAATTTTGCCCCATTTTATGATTTTTCTCACCACATTTGTTAAGTGAATCAGTGCAGTTCTTAAATTAGAAACATGGTTGTTAAGTGAATCTGGTTTCCCCATTGACTTTACTTATCAGAAGATCGCCAAAGGGGATCACATGACTCCGGGACACCGCAATTGTCATAAACAGAGTCAGTTGTCAAGCATCCAAATATAAATCATGTGGCCATGGGGATGCTGCAACGGTCATAAGTGTGCATTTTTAAAGTGCCATTGTAATTTTGAACGATCATTAAATGAACTGTTGTAAGTCCAGGACTACCTGTATTTATATTTTTAATCTCTCAGAGAATCAGGAGGACAGTCTTATCTACGTGACCATATTATCTCTCTAGCTTAGTGGTGTATATTTAACAGAAGAAATGGCTATTTTGTCACTGGAATTTTGCTCATTTTGACTGGGAAATCTATTTCATGTGGCAGTGGAGCTTATTCGCTAACGCTGCAAAACCTCAACATATCCTCATTGGGCCTGCGTTCCCTGCAAGAGATCAGTAGTGGCATGGTCCTTATCCACCACAATCCCAACCTTTGCTTCATCCAAAATGTTCCTTGGGACGACATCTTCAGAAATCCTCGGCAGAAGCTATTCCACAATGACAACAATTCACCTGAGCAATGTGGTAAGCATATGTGAAGCCCGTTTACATTAATGTGTCTCTCCCCCCCCAATTCTTTGTATGTATGGAAATGTCCTCTAAACCTGATATTTTAGTGGACAGTTGAAAGGACTTAAATGGGATCCCATGTGAGATTTTTCTGCAATATTGTGAGCTCAGAGGAAGAAGTTAGAAAGTTACTTAGCATATCTTTGATTTGGGAAGATTCTAATAGTAGAATCATGGTAAGATGGGAGGTCAATAATTTTATAAATAAATCAATAAATAGTGTGATCAGCAAGATAAAACAAGGGAAAAGTAATGGAAACGTTTTTAGCAAGGTCTCATGCAGAGATGAAAAAAGTGGTCAGTCAATTCTGGTCAAAATATAACACTAAGTATTTATAATAGTCTTAGGCAACAATGAAGTCCAGAGTAGAAAGCAAAAGATTTCTATATTATTTTACTTCTAGCAAAGTTCAGAGAGAGAAAGCTAGAAATATTGTCAAAATGCTGGTCGAGGTGAGCTTAGCTGAGTAGTCCTAGCAAGGCCTGTTTGCAAGGCATACAGCACTTAAGGATAAGCTACTCAGATATTGTTTCAAAGTTGAAGTGAATTCAGGAAAAGGCGTTTATTCCTTAAGCTTCGGAGTTCTGTTCCAGCACAGCTACTACCAATAAGATTAAATTGTGGTTGTTAAGCTTCATGGAAACAATACTTAAAGCTTCCATATCATCCGGCATTTCTCGGTCATCTGGCAGTAGCATTTTCATGACTTGGTTGGGATTCTTCAGATTTTGAGTCCAAGGTCAAGATAGTGATTCTGTCAATACCTCTGACTTGAGGAACAGTCCCCATCAGTTTATTCTCATTCAGCTCTTGCTTGCTTGGGAAGGACAATTCATCTTAGGGGATATGGCAGGAGAGTTGTTTGGGACTTCTTATTCTATTTTAGTGCAATAATTTGGTAGTACAGTATAGAGTGATTTCTCAAAAATGTGCTGGAGGAGAAAAAAAAAAGGCATAAAATTGATTTACACATGGGTTCATTTATTCATTCAACTAATATCCTTCCCTTTGTACAGGGGCACAAGGTGGCATACATAGTGCTCACTCTTCCTATTTGTCCTCATAAATGCAAGACTGTGCGGTAGGTTGGGCCAAAAGAGCAGCTGGCACAAATCACTTTATGGCTGAAGATGGATTAGAGTCTGGGTTTCCCCACTCCTATTCCAACACACTGGTTCTCATAATTTAGCACCTGATGCAAGTATGCAGGTTAATTATACTGATTGGTTCCTGAATGTCTATGAATAAAATTATGTGCTCTCCAACCTTCCTTTGCATCTCTTCTCTTTAGATCTCCAAGGCCAAGTTTGCTATTCTCTGTGCTCCCAGGGACATTGCTGGGGACCAGGGAAAAGTCAGTGTGTGTCCTGCAGTGGCTTTCTCCGTGGGAAGGAATGCATTGAGAATTGCAATGTTCTGGATGGGTATGTGGCAAGGGGAGATGTGATTGGGTGGGCTTTTTTGAGTCCTTACTAAGAAAATAATAAGGGGGGGGGGGGTTCGAGGATTTCAAAAGTGCTAAATAGAAAAAAAAATTCATCAAGTCTTGTATTTTAATCCTGTCACCAGATCTAGAAATATAAGCTGCTCAAAATGAATACAATTGGAATAGCATATTGGTGTTAATAATAAATAAAATCACAATAAAATGTAAGACGGTGTTTGATTTCCCTTATCCTCAAACAAAAAGCAAAAATAATATCCTTAAAGTTTCAATAGGTGGCACTGCATAGCTTACTTTGGAAAGCCAAACAGAATTGGTCCTGATTTAGTATTTGGAGAGGAAATTGACTGGAAAATCTACAACTAGAAGTTACAAAAAGAAGAAAAAAGAAACTATTATAGGAGAAAGCAATAGCAAACTGCTTCATTTTTCATGCTTGGCCAAACCCCAAATAATGATAGGAGTTAAAAGGATGTGGACTAAGTGAGGGACTGAAGGATTTGTATAGCGTCTGAGAGAGAAGAAAGATTATAAGTATAATTTTTCTGTTGAAGAGAAAGTTGGAAGTTGTATTTCATAACTTCAATTTCTTTTTTTCTTTGCTTGCGCTTTTTCATTTTTTTTCTTTAGATCAGTCTTTTATTTCAGATAAAATTCTTAACAAATATAAATACATTAAAAGAGGAGGAATCAAATTTCACTTCATGGCAATTTACAGCTGTCCTCGACTTACGACCACAATTGAGCCTAGAATTTATGTTGCAAAGTGAGAAATTTGTTAAGTGAGCCCCATTTTACAACTTTTCTTGCCACATTTGTTAAGTGAATCATTGCAGTTGTTATATTAGTAACACGGTTGTTAAGTGAATCTGGTTTTCCCATTGACTTTCATTGTCAGAAGGTCGTAAAATGTGATCACATGACCACTGGAGCATTGCAACTGTCATAACTATGAACCAGATGTCAAGCATCCAAATGTAAATCACGTGACCATGGGGATTCTGCAAAGGTCATAAATGTAAAAAATGGTCATTAGTCACTTTTTTCCAGTGCTGTTGTAACTTCAAACAATCACAAAATGAACTGTTGTAAGTTTAGGAGTATCTGTACTTTTATCACTGTTGGGATGCTTGATCCTGTACCATTTACCAAATTTCTCACTTTCCATGTGCATTAAAGGCACATGGAAGTAACATCATTCCTACTCTTTGTCTAAATACCCATCACCAATCAAATAATTAAATATTTTTAAATCACCCAACTCTGATTATAAAGTTGTTTTTATTCTTAATTCAGTGGATTCCAAATTGAAAAAAAAATGTTTGAGAAAATAGGAAGTCAAGAAATTGAACTATCTAAATTTTGGCTTGATTGAAATTTCCAGGGATATTCGGGAATATGTCAATGGGACACAGTGCTTTCCATGTCATCCAGAGTGCATGCCCCAAAACGGGACTGAATCTTGCTATGGATCGGTAAGAATGCTGAAATATCTTGAAACTGCAGTCATGTTCAGATATTATATTCTTGTTTCTTTTTCTCATCCATTAGGGGTTTTTTTAAGCTTTCTGGGATTGGTTCACAGTGAAAAGAGTGTAAATATCCAGGCCCTCCTTTCTGGAGACTGGAAACCTAAAATTGATGACCTACAGTATTCAGGGCCTTTGATGCAGTCATAGCACTTTTAAGAAAGAAGGCAAACATTCAATAGTACAGAGCAAACCATCGCAAGTTATATAGGCCAACTTAAGGGAATTTGATTTGGACAACTTCGTCTTGAGAGAGTGTTACCCTTGAGATTAACTTGCTTTCTAGCAACTATCTGCAGTGTTACAAAATCTGAGGTATACAACTGTGTCCTTCATATGTAATAAATTGTGTAACCCCTGCTATTTTTCCTGAGGTAACTTTGCAACATACCCTGTGACTCCAAATTCCTAGATGCCTATCAAAGAGCTGGTTTTCACTGCTCTGTAGGTTATGCCCATCTAAGGTCATATCAGCAACCCAACAGCTTGTACGATGAAATAACAAGAACATCATTCAATATTGAAACATATTCAGTATCCAACTAAACATGTGAAATGGATGAGAGGAGGCTTTTTTTTATTTTGCGTAATTAAGACTCTTTCACATCATCCTTTCCCCACTTTAGGAGGCAGACCAGTGTATAGCTTGCGCCCATTACAAAGATGGACTCTCCTGCGTAGAACGGTGTCCCAGTGGTGTGAAACTTGATGGCTCTTTCATACCTGTTTGGAAGTACCCTGATGAGGACAATGTCTGTCAGCTCTGCCCAGTCAACTGTACCCTTTCGTGAGTTTGCAGTAGGGTTGAAATCCATGGGTGGGAAGATCATAGAGAGATATATAGCCGGATTCTGACTATTTTCTGCTAAAAGTGGACAGTGTAATGCAAAAAATGTATCAGCTTTCAGTCTAAAGACGCTACAAGAACAAATTACATTTTAAAGCAGAGTTTTAAAATGAGACTATTTTTCATTGATAGGCACTTCCCTTTGTTGCTGAAATTGCAACTAATTAGAGTTAATCTTTTTCAAAAATATTCTTGTCCCCTTTTGTTTTTCAATTTTGGGTCAAGTTATTCAAGCTTGAGTGGAACAGAAAGAGAGTTTATTTGTTTTTGCTTTTTATGTTAATATTTTAAGTTCTAACTTACACAAATGCATAAATGGAATGAGATAGGAGAGGCCTGATTTATTTATTGGGTTGCCTTACTTTTGATTTAATGTGGAGGAATAAGAAGAGGAGAAATCTGCTCTCTTTTCAGTCTGAGATAGCATTGATTGTGCTTGTGAATGACCTTTGGAAGGCTTGGGACAGGGGTGGTGCAACCATCTTAGCCCTCCTGGCTCTCAGTGCCTTTTTAAACCATCGACTTTAGTTTCCAAATGGAAAAAAAAATCTCTACATTTTTAAACTTATGTGAAAATTCTTTTGCTGAGGATTGAAGGAAAAAAAATTTTTAATTTGGAATTAAGCAGCAGGAAGGTGATTAGATTCTGGAAAGTTATAAATGCAATAAGGAGGGGAGCAGATTGACTGGAAATAAGATTTTGAAGCTAATTATAAGAATCCTTCCTGTGGTTTGTTTAGAATTCTAATAAAATATATACAATATAAAATATAAAAGTTGGGATATTTTCAGAGATGTATCTGCCTTGAAAATAGCCCATGTTGAACTGTATAGCACTGTCAAACATGAGCACAGATATCTTTTATGATATTTTGTACTATATCACAAACTTTTATAATAATGTCTTAAAATGTTTTATAAAATTTGCCAAATTTCAATTCCACAGAAGTTATTCCACAGATTTTGAACAAATTAGCTCATTTGAAGTATCGGGTTTCAAAAATTGTTGCCCTATGATGCACCATTTTGTCCAGCTAAAAGTTACCAGAATGAGAATTTTAGTAATAAATAGATATGATTATTTTTTCTATAGCTTTTAATGATGTTTTATGATTTGAACTAAATGACGAGGCTTTAAAGATTTATTTACTGTACGTTTAAAAAATTTTTTATTGTACATTTAAAAAAAATTATAATAAGTTAAAACTGAAGGAAAGTGTTAAACTTGCAAAAGAATTTCTGAAAGGAGATGAAGAGAAAATGATAAGAAATTAATTTGTGGGAGATTATTTGAAGGTATTAAAGATAAAGATTTTCTATATGTTGTTTCAAGTAGCTCTTGATTAAATTTGAACCATGCAGTTTAAAAGATTTGTTTATAACAGTAGGAAAGAATAATAATAATAATAATAATAATAATAATAATAATAATAATAATAATAATAATAATAATAATAATAATATATATTCAGCAAAAATCCATTAAATAGCTCTCTCTTTCTCTTTCTCTCTCTATATATATACATACACACATACTGTTATTTTTGATAACTTAATGGGTTTTTCCTAATTCAGATTGAATGATGAAGCTTAGCATTTGCTAATAGATAAAAGATAAAACATGAGTTGAAGAGATTTTTAGTTAAAATGTTAGAGAAGTGAGATTACTGAAATTGTGCTTATATTGATGAAGGAGAAGTAATTTCTTTATATTATATATTTTTTCCTTTGTATTTTTTCCTTCTTTTTTCTCTCTCTGCATTTTTATTTGTACTTTTTATATTTTTCTTAGCTTTGTATTATTTTATCTTTGTATTTTAAAATTTTAATAAAATCATTGAACGTGGTATCCTTCTGATACCATGTGATTGGCTATTCCATGTTACTGGGACTAGGAGACACTCTGCTTTCCACAGCCAGTTTCAATTGGGGGGGGGAGGGTGAAAGGTCAAAACCTAGGCCACTGAAATGTGAGGTTTCTGAGGGATTAGGTTTCTCTCCTTTAACATTTATATGAAGCCTCTGGGAAAAGTCATTCACAGGCACGGGATGTGGTATTATCAGTATGTGGTATCATCACTATACATCTTCATTCCTGCCCTGACAGGTGATGTGCTTCTGGTGCTGGAGGTAATGAGGGTCTGGGTGGAGAGGAATTCTTTTACTCAGCTTTGACAAGACTTAGTGGCTTTACGTTTTCAGCCCTCAGGGTTTGTTGATAAGATACCTTTGACGGGATTGCATTTCCCTGGACTGAATTTGTTAAGTCCTGGGAATAATGGCGCTTGAGACGATTCATCTCTAACAAGTCTTTATTGTTTGCTCCACTCTCGAACAACCAGAGCAGAGGCACGCAGGCCTCTATTTATACTCTCTGATCCCCGGGCAAGTTCAACCAATCATGAGGCGGGCTTTTCCCGCCTTGCGCATGCGCACAAGGCCGGCGCCGCTCAGTCTGGTCCCGGGCAGCTTCTGCAAATGCCCGGGACTCTTGCAACGTCCCGAGCCTGCATCTTGCAGGCTCGGGACACAACACCCCTTTCCCCTGGATGAAATAAGATTGCGCCCACATGGACGCCATCCTATAGATGGTAATATAATTAAATAATGAAATAAAGTTACACAATATATATAAGGTGTGGGACTGTTCCTTTGAACCAGATCCAGTGACTCCCCCCGACCTTGTTTTACTTAAATACAACCCGCCAGTACCTTCAGTCAGCTCTCGCTATGTACCTGTTCACCTTACGTAATCGGCTAGGTATTTGGGAGGGCCTCTTGCCCTGAGTGACCTTCTCAGACCTGGAGAGTTTGTATTGTTATTTCCGTTGCTGCTTGCTCTAGGTGAAGTGCCCTGTGAATGACCAGTGACTTCAGCTTGGCTTTCCAGCCCATCTCCTGTAATTGAGCAGTCCAGGCCCTGTTGGTCGTTAAGCCTGGTTGACCAGCCCTCAATGGAGTTATCTAACCCCTGTGAGTTCATTCCCGTGTTCCCTGAAGGAATGTAGGATTCCTGGCTCGTTTCTGTAGTGCTAGGGACTAGGGATGCCTCCCTGTTACCCCTGATGCGTGAGGACAACCTCCTCTGAGCCCTTTCTGAGACGTGTTCCCCCTTTGTATTGCCTGCTCTCTTGCATGTTGTGAGTTGTGAGTATGCTCCCATGTATTCTCCGTGTCTGGAGTATTGCTAGATAGGGGTGGATAATTAGGCTGCCACTGGTGGGACTCCCAGGCTGGAGTGTGTGTGGGGGTGTCTATGTACTCCCTTTCCCACAAACTGCTACCAGAAGCACCTGTGGAAGTTGGGTGTTGCGTACCCGTTTCCCTTTCCACAGCCAACGTAGGCTGTTGATTTTGAATCCCAGAATGCATTTCCCATTCCTCCTCCCCCCCCAGAGGAGATTGAGGAGGAACCATAGGCGCGTCCCACCTCACACGTAATTGATCGATGTGGCGGCGAAGCACGCGGCCGTCTGGCAGGGACACCTCGTAAGACAGAGGCCCCGAGACTTTACAGACCACAGCCGGTACCCAAAGGTGACCAGGCCTGTAATTCCTGGCCCAGACAGGATCACCTTCACGAAGGACCCGTGGTGGGTGTGGCTGAGACACCTGAGCAGCTACACGTTCCGGATGCAGCCTGTCCAATTTAGTCACGAGCCGACGACCCCAGCGGAGTTCGGCCGGGCACTTACCCGTGGCAGTGCACGGAGTAGTACGGTGTGCCAAAAGAAAGTCAGCCAACCTG